CCTTAACCAAGCAACGTTAGTAAGCATTTTAGTTAAATTGAGGATTCAGATCTGAAATATTAATGTTCTTCCATGGAATACCAGAAAGAGAAGGGTAGAATAAGAGCAAGTTCTAGCTCTAGCAATGGAAAAAGGCAAAATCTGGCTACGATTTAAAACAGAGGGGGTTGGTTTCAAAATCTTGAAGACAAAATTTTTCCCTTCCGTTTTGAATTCTGAAAGGTAATTATTTTGTGTTATTGTGCCTGGACTGCTCCTGCAGACAAGGCATCTGTATCCTAAATAGCACTAAGAGGTACACCTCCGACTGGTAGATCAGAAATTTTACCTCTTTAACAAATTCCATATTTCAAAACATGGAGGGGAATTTCAAAACAAAAAAAAATGTACAAAGTCATCCAGAACTGAGTTTCGGTACAAAAAAAAAAAGAGAATTTGGAGTCAGTGTGATCCATGGTTGAGTGAAGACTTCCCTCAAAGAAGACCTGCTCTTTTCCGCAGTTGAGCAGACGGGAGTTTTGCCCTTGGCTGCAGTGCATACCTCTACCAAATAATTTAAGCAGAACAGCAACAGAATAGTCTGGGTAGTATGTTAGGAGCATGGAGTGGGCACACTGCCTGTAACTGTTTAGTTTTTTAAAAACTCATTATTAAGCAAATGTGTAGAGTATTAAGGAAATTTGTAGAGTATGTCTGACCGTATGAGTGTGTGGGTGCTGTGCTGTGGTAAAAAGAGACTAATTGGTTTATGCGGTTTGTTTTGCATACTTTAGGCTCCTGTATGGGTTTTTTTAATTGATATTTATTTCTCAGCAGAGCTTAGAATAATTTTAAAGCTGTGTAACACATCATTTAATGAAATCTATTGTCAGCATCTGTTGTAAACATGTGTTTACAAAACAAACTCTTGAATACTTGACATTTGGAAATAAAAAAATAGCATATCAAGTGTGTTTTATTTCTGACAAAAAAAAGAGCAACAAAAAAGGTACGTGGGTGGCTGTGCAATCATTCTAGATCAGGTGACGAAGTATTTGGTCTTTTAGTGTGTAGTCAGACAAAACCAAATCTTTCCACTGAATTCAGTGACCACCGAGTCACAACTAAGTATTGATCATGCAGAAATAAGCTGTAAAAATCCACAGTTTCCTCTAGCGCTAAATTTGATTGATATTAGTTATATGCTAAGAAACACAAATTTCTTTGAAATAGATACTGACAGTTGGAAAAAATACTTAGGGTAAGAGTCTATGTGCATCTACGCTGCTCAGTGAAAGAGGGCCGGGACATGAACCCAAGGACTGGACTCCTGACGTCCACACTGCTTAGTGCTGAGTTTGCTCCTTGGCCCTGATTTGGAGCACGCCAACAAACTACCTCCATGTGGTTTGTGGGGAAGGGCTGTGCCACAGAGATCTCCCACATGTCAGAAGTGGCTGAGCCAGGTTTGGTTCCCCCAGTTCCTGCAGCCACCCAAAACCACAGGCTGTGTGTGTCGGGGACCCCCGTGTCCTCATGCAACACCGCAGGGGCTGCAGCACACACCGCAGTACCACGCCGAAAGAGCTCTAGTGGTTGCAACGCAGGTCTTGTATTACCACAGACATGTAAAAATGGAAACAATTAGAAATTGTTTATTTTGGGTCCACAGGAATATCAGCACAGAGACAAGGGGAGACCCAGGGCTAAGTAATACATAATGTGGATGGGGCCAGCCTGGTCTAGCAGTGTGGATGTGACCTTGTTCATACAATTTGGTTTTGGAGCTAGGTTTTCTGATTTCTGGACTCAGGTTTATTTAAAAGCATAGGTGTATCTTTGGGTGGAAATTCTGTCCCAAGGCAGCCTGGCCTTTCAAGATCAAAAGAACAGCAGGTTGAAGTTGAATATGTTTTTCTAAACATGTTTCATTATTGAGCCTTTATACCGAAAGTATTTTGACCTCTAGTGCATGTTTCACGGCTGGATAAGCTGTGGCTTGTTTCTATGAAACGTCCTCACTGCTTGGTGTGAATACTACGAGCCCCCAGATCCCAGCAACAATCAAACAAAACTTTGCTGCCACAGGGCAGCTGAATTTGCATTGATTCAGGACATGGCTTGTCTTTCTGAGGTATCTAAGTGCATTTGATTTCAGACCACAGAAACTGCGGTGGTGTGCACAGCACCTAGCAGATTCGAGTCCTCAGCCAGCAAAGCAGCTTCAGCTGATGTGTGCAGCCAGGGAGGAGCTACCGTTCCATGGATGGTAGCTGGATCTATGTGGTCCAGATCCTCTCTGATTTCCAAGTTCAAAGTAAGACTTACCCATTTTCATTTCCAATGCATATAACTACACAAAAAAGCACCTTGTGGATCTCCTTGAATATCACCAGTGTCCACAACTAGAACTGTTAAACCAAGGAATGTGCTGTGGATGAAATTATCATCAGGAGAATTCCAGCATATCAAAGGGTATCGTTGCTAGTTGAAAACTGAATAAATGAGCTACCTTGGCAGGGGTTGGAAGCACAGCGGGGTGGTGCAGGGGCCAGGGAGAGGCACTGGTGTGTGGCTCTGCACTGACATCTGCTGCCTGAGCGGGAGTAAAATTACCCCAAGCGGCTCTGAGGTGGCTCAGGCTGTGATTGCGTCCCGTCAGGTGGGACGTATGTTTTTGAAATTACTCTCTGGCTTGTACCCCACTTACTGCACATCGGTTCTCACTGCAAAGTGGTGTCAGAGCACACAAACTGGATTTTTTTTTGCTGAAACTAAAGGAGGAAGTTTTATTACAGCATCACACCTAGTGGGCACCAGCCACCCACAGGTCCTCAGGCCTCGAGACCAGTCCTGAGCGAATCCTCCCTGAACAGGGTTGCTGCAGCTCTTGGCTTCTCAGCCCCAACTGTTTCACCACGCAGATCCTCTTCCACTGTGCTTCAGCGACTGCTAACGTAGACAGCTGCAGGCATCTAAAGGGATTTTGGTGGGGAGCGTGGAAGGTGTCTATGCCCAGACCTGCACTCTGAAAAACCCTTCACTCAGCTGTCAAACCTGAACTCCAGAATGATGCTATGATCCAAATGTTACCCAAGAGCCTTAACTTTTTTTTTTTTAGCTGTTTGTGTGCATTAACACTTCGGGACCAAGAGGATTTACCTACCCATAACAGCGACTAACTCGTATCTGAAGTTCTGGAAATGAAGCATTACCCATCTTTGCTTTTCTTGAAGGCTTTAAGTTGGTAAGAGGTCTCAGAAAGTGTCTCAGACCGTCCAAGGGTGTGAGGGCAGTACTGGCTGCCTTCTTTTAAATCCCAGAAGAAGCATTTCAAATAACGTTGACACCTCCCAAAGATGTGCAAGCCTTGAAGTTATTCCTGTCCAGCTCCAGGCCCTCTTCAGAAAGTAGATAACTATGTACTAACTTTCAAAAAAGACACACCTGCCATTATTTTGCAGATCAGAAAAAGCCAAGAAGGTCCTCCTCTCGGGCCTCTGCTTGCCTGCTGTGAGGAGTGCTTGCCCATGAAGTCAGATTTGGGCATTTGTTTCCCTCCTGAGCCTGCAACTGCCTGATGCCTGTAAGAGCTTCCTGACAGTCACACCATGCACTGCTCATGGACTCGACTGCCTCAGCCATGGGACAAGAAGTACTGTACAGAAAGGAATGCAAAATATATTGGGATAGCAACATGCTGCTTAGGACACCTACTTAGGTACGTGACAGCTTTTGGCCTGGTTTAATATTTGATGCATGTTGCCAGAGAGCAAGGATCAGAGCTCATTGCTCCCTCTTGTACCTCTTAGTTACAGAATAAGTCTCTTTGTAATTTTTTTCCCTCCACATTCCTACAAGAGAGCTGTAAAAAAGGCTCCCACCTAAACTATCTGATAGTTTGGAGGATAGGGCGCTGTCCTGGGAGAAGGAAGGTTGACACTTTCAAGCTGAGGAGGATGCGATCTCTTCCGTTTCCTGAGTGAGTACTCCAAGCTGTCACGTAAGGAGGAAGGACAAGTGGGGTGAATGGGTGGACCACACTATTGCACCATTCCCTTCTCTATCTCTACCCAAAAGTTAAGAGAGAAGAAAGCATCTTGCTTGGTTCTTTCAAAGAAATACACTTTCAAAGAATGGAGGGCACATGGTTGGTGCTGAATAATTCCCCGCACAGCGACATGAGAGGTAGTTGTATGGGACCTTGCTTCAACTTGCCTTTGTCCTTAAAGTCCTCCCAAACTTGCTGGCTCAGCCTGCTCGGCACCCTGTTTTGAAATACATCCTGTGCTTGCCAGTGTGCTTTCCAGGGACAGGCATTTCTCAGGGGTCTATCTAGCATTGCAATGACTGACTGATTTTTGAGCACTTAGGTTAACAGTTGGTCCCCTTTCCTGATTCCTAAAAACATCACCTGTAACTTCATGTCTGCAGTGTCCAAGGACTGTGTAGAAGAAAGAAGAGATCCAGCTTCAAAGGCTGGTTTTAGTTTATGAAGCCAATCTTATCCACAGGCCACTAAAGAAACGTAAAATGCAAGTAAGAGAGAGTTTACCTTGAAAGCTAAATTCCTTTTTGTGAAGACTTGTGCGAGGAGACACTCCTCCTGACTAGAGATCTGTGGTCCACGCTCGTTAAGCCCTGCGCGTCCAGTCTGCTGCGCTTTGCTGTCATAGGGAGAGCTCTGCAGGGAGGAGGCAAAGAGGCAAAGCAGGGGCTGGCACCGTGTAGCATTGCTTTACTTCTGGGAACCGCTGGTTGCGCAGCTCGGCGCATTGACTTCAAGGAAAAAAGGATCGGATGAATTGGGAATTAAAAAAAATAAAATCACAGCATGTCTTAAACAAAAAATATATATTATTCACAATCTCCAGGAATAATTTATAACTAACAGAATGTAGTGTGTTATTTAGTTACCCATTGCTTTAAATGTGGATGGATTCTTAAAACTGAAAATATTAACATATTTTTAAAATAAATCATAATTAGGAGGAAAATTGGATCATCTGGACTTCTCTGAAGCAGGTAAAGTAAAACACTTTTTATTTCAAGAAATATTGCTTCTAGACTTTCCCGAAGCCAGAATTGTTCTATAAAAGTATCACAGAAATATTATACAAGATTTAAAAACACAGTCTGTATCCTAGTAACTTAAAACCTATGTACAAATAGCATCATTCATGACCATAAATACGTTTTTCTATCAATCAGCCCATGACACATACATCAGATAAAGAGCTAGTAATTTTAACATATGTACAGAGTCCATCAAAAAGACTGTTTCTTAAAATTATTAAAATCCTACTAAAAGAATCTCCTTTGTAAAAAGTTTCAACTTAAAATAAAATGCAATGAATGTAAGTTTAACCTGCAGTGCTTGCAATAGCCAAAAAATACTCACTACACTAAATAACATGTAACAGATAGGAAACACACCCGTGAATTGGACACTACGGAATTACATCTGTTTGAGGTAATTCCCTTTTGTTGTTGTTGTGCTAATCATTTAGAAATTTATAAAAAGCAAGGGAAGATATTAAGTTTCGAGTAATACAGATTTTTAAAGTCATTTTTGCATTATACTTTATAAAATTTAATGTTTGGTAAAGTTCAAGAAAAAATTTAGAATACAACAACAAAAATTATCTAAACTACTATTTTTTACCTCATCTGCCATTTGTATCTAGAATAATGTAAATCTAACATGATTTTATCATTCCCTTTAATGTTTGTTCAAAACAAAACAAAAAGAATTTCAATCTCAAAATTCTAATAATGTTTTCAAGATATTGTTTGGGATAATAAAAATCAGATGTGGTGACAAAAGCATATATGTATTGATGTAAACCTTTCTACCAGTATCAGGAAAAAAAAAGTCAAAAAACCTCATGGATTTTTAATACTGACAATATCAACATATAGGGAAACAATCCAATTTAAACAAATCCTCCTACAGTTAACAATCATTAGCCATACCTTTCTGAGAGTAAATTTACTTAAAATAACAAAAACATGCAATATTTTTGCTAAAATAATATTCAGAGTCTGTTTCCACAATCCATGCTGATTACCTCTTTCCTGTCAATCTATTTATTGGTTTCACAATTACATGAGACAAACTAAGAACATGTAAGGTATTAGATTCATAAATGGTATGGCATACAGATTTTAAAAGTGCATTTTACTCAAAGGCGTGACATTAGGAATTTCCAGTGGTTAAAATAACTTATGAAAAAGACATAATGCAGACAGATTGGGTGGACTGAAACATTCATTCATGGTGGGATCATTTGGAAATAGAGAAAGTAACTTGAACACCCTCTTTAAAGAAAAAACGTTTAGCTTCCGGAGAATGTGCTACTGCATTTGAAAGTTAACACTGATTCTTTCCATCAAAAACTGGAAATCTTGCTTCCCAGTGGGGAGAATTACTGTAAAAATTTGTGCGTGTGAATAAAACAAATGCACACAGACAAATACTGAACTGGGCTCAATTTAGCTGCAAAACGTATCTACAATAAACATGAAATGTCAGTTGTCATGATTACCTTTATTAGTTTGCTAATAAGAAAAAGGAGAACTTATTTAATGGTTTACAACTTGATCTAATCCAAGGAGAGTGGAGCTGAGGCACTGCCTTCTACATTTAGGATTTGTGAAGTTTCCCCTGCAAGACTCTGCTCTGTTTTTTTTAAGAAAGTTCCTGTTTTCTGGGTACCGATAGCTGAATCCTTAATGGATACGTTTACAGCCTGATGAACGAGGGGTTCATCAGATCTCATGGGAAGATATATTTGGTCTTCAAATATATCTTCCACAGCGTCACTATCCTGTTGAGTGTCCTTTTGAGGAATGCTGATGGGTTTTAGCATGAAGCTATGCCGGGCCTCCAACTCTATCAAACCGTTTCCACTGAAATCCATATCAAAACGGTCTGATTCTTTATCCTCCATCCATTTTTCAGCTTGATGATTATTTCTCCAGTGTGCGTCATTCAAACTACTTTTCTCAGGAATATCATTGTTTAATTCAAGTTTCTTCTCCTGACTTAAATTCACCGTGCTCAAAGCGAGGGCTGCAAAGTCCGTTGGCACAATAAGCTGCAACTCTTCTGCAGGCAGGCCGCTTGATTCTTCAGCAGAAGTCATTTCCACCAAGGTAAACGGCGTGGATGATTCGTCCCCTTCCCCATTGCTTCGAGCAGTGTTAGCCTTGTCTGTTTTATTTTGCTGGTAGTAACTGTTCAGCAGTGCAAACATTCTATCTACATCCTTCAAGTAATTAGTCCAGTCAGCCAGACTAAGTCTATAGTTGTATCTGTATTCATATACACTTTCATTCACACTGTACAAGTCTTCCAGTCCTTGCCAGTCGATGTCGCCAGTGAAATTGGGCAGGTTAGCCTTCCCATCCATCCCATAACTGTCCTCTGTTGAAAGAAAGAATAAAGCCTAATGGTGAACACCAGCTTAAAGGTGCAAGCGAAGCTTGCATGTGTGTTTCTACTCCAATTTGCTTGAAAGCACCACTATTCATAGCACATGTAGCTCAAAATGTAAGACACTCCACATCTGTCATGATTCTGGGCTCAGGTGTGTTCACAGCTCCCGCTGAACACACAGCAAGAAACTCCCTGTCTTCTGCTACATCCTTGGACTGAGTAAAAAAGCGCAAAATCTGGTCTAATGGGGCTTTGTGATGACAGTCAGAGATAAAGCTTTCCTCTGATATATCAAGGCAGGAAAGGTGCTTCAATAAGCGAACAATCCATTCGCCTTTCCTGAACACTCCACCAAAATATGGAATAAATGAACAATGGCTAAGTATAAAAGATGGGACTAACTCTGAAAGCTATTAGTGACCTGAACTTCAACAATGCCCACAGCAATTTGGTGTGTGAGTAGCTTGAGACATACAGTCTACAAACCAACCACCCACATTTTATTTAATAAATGATAGCCAAAGGTAGTATTTTATTTACTTTGTAAACATTCATTTTAATTTACATGGAGCAATTAGGAGAAAGAAAAGCTGTAAAAACTTGGTGTGAATTAATTTACAGGACTGCATCACTCTGTAAAATAGTGTTAACATATACACAGATATAGAACCTCCTAAGGGCTTTCTTTTTTATTTTTTAAATTAAAAAAAAAAACTGTCAAAGAAAATGTCTAACAGGTTTATTGAATAGTAAGTATGAATAAAGGGCATACATATGAGTCTATAAGTAGCAATGGAGCTGCATTTTATATTGATCACAGCCAGATAAAGCAAAGACATGAAAGAAACCCATTTCCAAAAGATTTTTAAAAATCACTGCAGTGACTATAGTGACCCAGATTATCAAATGTAGCATGAAATTTTATATGGACAAGTAACACTGAACACCACTATTTCATTTAATTCGCTGTGCAGACTGTGTTCAGTACAAAGATTTTATCAACAAAGTGAACTACAAGGAAAAACTAATCAGATAATGCAAAAGCCTGTCAGGGAAAGTGGCAAATTTGTCCTTACAAATGATGTTGTAGGCAATATTTAGTAGTTAGTTCACTAGATGACTTACTCTCTTTCTGAAAATTGTACAGGCAAGTAGGCTAGTAGTAATTACCTTGGAAGTTCAAGTGGCTACAGTACAGCAGCATGAACTGAGCACAAATACTTATCTACATTGAACTCTTCATCCCTACAGTGGGTTCTTGGCATCTCCATTAATTTTTTTGTATTTTAACTTGGCCTTTCTCATTGTTCATGTAAAACAGAAGATACAACTTGTATCTATTATAGCTTATATTCTTTGCTTCTTTACTAGCTTGGGATTTCACAATGGAAAGAATTTCTCCACTATTTAGTCCATCATATGGAAAGTCAGAAAAATATCATTATGGTCAGAAAAAAAGTCGAGATTTTCTTATGATGAGGGCCCTTATTCTGCACTAAAGGGAGACCATTTTCCTTATTTGGAAACACCTGAACATTTGGTCTTCATTGATATTTCTTCACTTAATACAACAGCTATAAATATTTTACAATGTAAAATCTAAATATCTTATTTTTTTTAAAGCGAGTTCTAGGAATATTTTTTTTTGCAAACACTTGGCAAACTCCCTATTACAGGAGGCAACACAAGCTTTTTGGATCCAATAGGACAGCTATGACAGAGCATCTTCCTTCTTTCTTTTCCTGAAGTAGACAAGAGAAACAAAATCATGGCATGGCCACGAGAGCCACCTTCGTAAGACAAATTGTGGATAATTTGTTTCCTGAAACAAAAAATAATTAAATACTGCAGAGGTTTCAAGAAAAAAATGTCTTACTATTCCAGCGCTTAGAGGTATAAAGGGCCCTAGAAAACATCATATGAAGGGATGCATCTTTGAGGAATTTAGTCGCCAAACCCCCTGAGAGATTAACCACACTGCAAATGCCATAATATTTAAATTTTGCTCTGTTATTATTTGTATTGCTAGTTTCATTTTTTTTTATTTGCCAAACCAGAGCCTGTATAGGAAAACAAACTGCTGTCGGAGGAAAGTTGGTGGCCAAAGTGGTTTGGTATGTGATGGCAGAAACCGAAACCGGAGTGCTGCTGTTTGACCGGTGGCAGGTCTGGGGATGGACCAGGGCAGTGGGGGGCAAAGCACGGGCCAGAAAAGTGCCTTTGGGCCCAGAGAAGCATCTCCTGCCTGTCCCAGGCAGTGGGACAGGGGCTTGAGCTGGGCAAGCCTGAGTGTCAGGGTGGGCAGCAGGGAGGTCTGGGGGCCAGTGAAGAGGAGCAGGGTTTCCCACCAGCCTCAGCGGGGCAACGGGGCTGTGCTGCAGAGAAGTAAGATCAGCAAGGAGTTTGCTGGATTCCTGC